CCAGCCGCTCAGAGCCACCAGCCTGCACCGAGCGAGTGCTCCTGTGCCTGCCAAGGCCCCTGCTTAAGTGATCTTCTCACACTCTTCCCAAACACCCCTAAAATAGACTTTCCTGGCAGCTCTGCGCATTCGGAGGCCCTGTCCTAATACAGCTGCACGCAGGCATGTAGCAGCGCAGTGCTGTTCCTGTGCACGCTCCTATGCCACCAGCTAAGCTGCCTGCAGGTTTTATTCCCTGGCTTGCACCCTCTTTTCCCGCACACTCCGTGGTCTCACATGCTCCCTCCCACACCAGATGTGCAGGAGTGGGACTCGCACGACCCGGACTGCGGTGGCGCGATGCAGTCGCCCATCAACATCAACACGGCCGAGACCGTCTTCAGCCCGCAGCTGCGGCCGATCCAGCTTGTTGGCTACAGCCTGTCCTCCAAGGAAATGCTCAAGCTGAAGAACAACGGGCACACAGGTGGGCAGCCAAAACGATGTGAGACGGGGCACATCCCCAAGCCAAGACGTTGCTTGCGGCCCCTGCTGGCAGGGCTGACCTTGTCTGAAACTCTTCTCTTTGGGTCTCTGGTGAGAACACTGTCTTGCAGGCTTCGTTCATGTCATCTTCAAGGCTGAAAGGGCAGCATTAGGCTATCTGGCCTGTAAGGTCTCAGTGCTTTTGCAGCTGGAGTGGAAAAACCAAGAGATGGAAAACTCACCACTGCCTCTGGGAGTTTCCTCCAGGAATTTACTATAATCCACATTTCTTTTTTTTTCTTTTTTTTTTTTAAAAGAAAAAAAGACCGTAGCACTTATATCACAAGTTTCCAGCCATTAGTTCCTCTCCTGCATTTCACCGTTAAAGGACTACCTTGTTCCTGATACGATTTTGCCATTGAGGCGTTTACCTCTTAGCTTTTTAGGGCACAGTATTGGTCAGATTCCTTAAGTTATGTTTCAGGATGTTATCTCAGGAGCTTCAGGCATTTTTATAGGTCTTTTATTTCACGTCTCCACTTCTAGAACTTTTTTTGAAATGTGCGGATACAACATATTCACAGTATTTTAGTGTCAGTCTCATGCTGCTGGATGCAGAGATAACCCTGCCTCCCTCCCACTCATTAGCCCACGGTTGTGCATGTGGGAACGGTGGCCCCGTTTGTCACTTTGTCCTTGTGGGAGCACGTTAAGTGTCTCATGTATGCTGATGTCTGCTGGGCCCCAAGCTGAGAAAAGGGAGCAGAGACCAGACTTAGAAGTTCCCTGGTGTGATAAGTCTCCTCCTTGCCTTGGTAGCTGGTGAGGCAGATTGAGCTGGTCTGCGCATACAACAAGTTCAAGAAGTTGGGCTTGCTGTGCTTGGTCAGATCAGCCTCACGTTGCTTGGACTTGCTGTGCATGGTCAGATCAGGCGCATGTTGCGTGCGCAGAGCCTTGTAATGCCTCCTGCCCCAGCGTGCCTGCATTTTTAAACTGCTTGTGCTCAGTTGTTGCTATTTTGGACACCCCTGGCATCTGGAGTTGATGGGTATTCAGAAGGGCAGTCATAGCACTTCCAGAGGGGGGAGAAATAATTTCCCGTGTGCTTACAAGATGCCTTTTTTTTATTATGGCAACTGTCACTCTTTTGTGATTATTCTGAAAAGCCAGAAGTAACTAAAATATTAAACATGTACTAAAATGTTTGTATAGTTAATCCACCTTATACTATACAGTGTATAAAGTTCTGAAATGGGAATGACTCACATAAATAATAGAAGGAATGCACCAATTAAGATACACAAAAGAAATGTAAAGCAGATAAGCTTCCAGAGAGGGAGCAATTTCTTGCTTCCTGTATTTGAGTTTTGTGTCTTTGAGCTCAGTGGCAGGGAACATGGTAGGGGACAAATGATTCATCATGACTATGGCTAGAACAGACTTCCTTGGTGTCCGGAGATGTTGCTGATATTTTGTAGCATGTCCCAATAGCCCAGCTTTAGCATTACCCACATGGCTGCATGAGGACTGAGTTGTTAGCCAGGACTTGGTCATGACTCGAACCAGGTTAAAGTAAAGGCAAATAAAAGTATATGTTTATGGTATGTATACAGGCATGATGAGAATGATTGCAGTAGAGTAATGCTTCCGTGGTACCAGCTCTGGTGCTTGTCGTACACACATGGGGCACTTCATTTGAATGGTCCCAGCTTGCCAAGTGATGCAGCTCTCTTTACGACTCCTCTACTCTCATAAGTGTTTAATACGCTGCCAATATCTTTCTCCGTGAGTTTTGCCCACAGTCTCCTTATTCTTGCTTACTGAATAAGTTATTGGGTAACATCTGGCTTAGAACTGACCCCTGGGAGATTCTGCAGAGGATTCTTCAGCAGTTTCACAGCAGCTACTTTTGAGGCTGTGTTTATAACCAAGGTGCCCTACAACCTGACGCTGAAAGTTGCAGCCTGCTGCATTGTTCCCTTGAGCTGTCCCCTCTGCTCACCCATGTGAAGGATTGAGCTTTTCATTTTCCTGACCAGCCTCTTCCATCTGCACCTGCAGTTGTCCTTGAGCTGCCCGAGCTGCTGGCCATTGCTGGGGGCTATGCCCAGCAGTACAAAGCCGTGCAGCTGCACCTGCACTGGGGTTCTCCGTCAGGACCTGGCTCGGAGCACACCGTCAATAACCACCGCTTCCCCGCGGAGGTAAGGAGCTCCCATTCCTCCCCACTGCCCCTCTGCATCCTCGTCTCTGCCAGCAGCTGCGTGGAGAAGGTGCCGTCCCACGGCCGCGCTTGCTGCTGGGTGAATGCTGTAGGCTTTCAGTGAGGATCTCTGCTCCTGCTCACCTCTGTGGAGGTAGTTTAGTGTAGGAGAGCACCAGCAGCACCTCAAGGGAGAGCCAGGCCTGTGACACAGCCTGCAGTATGAAGGCAGCCCCCAAGGACCCTCTGCCTGTGGTGGGCTGGGGCAGAGCTGGCCTGCAGCAGGCTCGAGGTGAGCAGGAGGGGATGGTCATGCAGGAGAGGACGCAAATCTGCCTGGCTTGCCCCAAGACGAAGTGGATTCTCCCTTGGGCAGTTGAGCCTGTTCTTCTGCACTGCAGCCCGGTCCTGGGCTGATGGAGCAGGAGCTGCAGTGTCCCCTGGGCAGGGGCAGCCAGCCTGCTGCAGGGAGCTGTTTACTCTGTACACAAACTGTTCGCATTCTCTGCTGGTTCCTGTCTGGTTTTCTCCCTCCTCCAGCACTTGTCCTCAAACCAAACCCAGCTCTGCAGTAAGTTCCCCTTCCTCCGTGCTGGTTTGCTGGTTGGGACCAGGGAGGATACAGTGGGAATCCTTCATGCTTGCCAGCCTTCAGCAGCACGTTTTCCTGGCCCCACTAGTGTGCTTGGTCACCGTGGCGGATGCTCAGCATTGGTTCATGGCTCTGCCACCCTTTCTGTGACAGGCTGGCCATGTGGAGCCCTGTGGCTGCGGGCACTGCCTGGAGGTGCCTGCGCTGCATCGGGGCTTGCACCTTTGCCTTCCAGATCCACGTGGTCCACTACAACACCAAGTACAACAACTTTAAGGAGGCCATGGTCCACCCTGATGGCTTGGCAGTGCTGGGAGCCTTCCTGGAGGTGAGGCCAATAGCTCAGCCTGGGCAGGACGGGTAGGAGAGTGATGGCAGCAGGATGGGGGTGAGCAGAGTTGGCCATAGCTCTGGGGACAGGCAAAGGTGCAAAAGTGCCTGGGGAGAAATAGATTGAGGGCAGGGTGATCCTGACGGCAAGAATGGGGCAGACTGGAGCAGGGTGGTCCATGCTGGGAGCAATTACTCCCTGCTGGCCCTGCCATCGGCTGCCTGTCCCACTTAGGTCTCCGTGTTCCCCCCTTCTGTGGGGGCTCTGCTTTGCAGGTTGGGCCCAGGGAGAATCCGTACTATCGGCAGATACTTGAGCACCTGTACAAAATCGAAGGAGAAGGTAAGACCCTGTCCTACCTAGTGCTTGTCCTGGGGTGCAGCCACGGGGCAGGGAAGGGGAGCATTGCACAGCTTGTGCAGAAGCAGTTTTTCAAAGCGCTTCCATGTGCTTTTTCCTGGCTCCAGGGCAAGTGACCTGCTCCTGGCGCCACTATGTTACAGCCAGGGAGCTGGTTCCCTGGGGAATGTGGTACAAGGCTGGGCTTGAGAGATGTCCCAGGTCAGATGTGTTCCAGGGACTCCATGCTGTGGTGCTCCTCTTGTCTCAAGTTTTATGCCCTGAACACAGTGTTGCTCCATGGTGGGACAGAGCTCTTCTAGATAGCCTGGCCGCTTAGCCAGGTTGCATGCCTGCCCTGGTCCAAGGGGCTGCACTGGTCTGACTGGTGTTTCCTCTCGCAGATGAAGAAGTCTTGGTGCCTGGGTTCAACATCGCAGGCCTGCTTCCCGCCAACCTGAACCTCTACTTCCGCTACAACGGCTCTCTGACCACCCCTCCCTGCTACCAGACGGTGAAGTGGACGGTCTTCAACCAGACCGTGCAGCTCTCTCAAGATCAGGTCTGTCATGGCCCCAGGCTCCCAGCTGGCCCTTGTGCAGCTTCTGGAGCAGCCCCTGAAGCAGGCAGGGGCTCTGCTCTGCTCACACCGCTCTCCTGCCAGATCTCCCAGCTGGTGATGACCCTGAGAGGGGACGATGACAGCCCCCTGCAGAACAATTTCCGAGGCGTTCAGAAGCTGCACGGGCGACACGTGCTGGCGAGTTTCCAGATCACCCTCCCATCAGTGAAGCAGCTGCCTGCTGGTAAGGAGAGCACGGATGTGGGACACACTCTGCTTGTTGGGTACAGGTGCAGGGGGGCAGGTTGAGAAGCTGGAATCCAGGTTTTGCTTTTCTTATGGAAAGGCAGTGTTTGCATGGGCTGCCATGCCCAGGAAAAGACTTAGAGCAGCACTTAGGCAGGTCCCATCCCCCCTGTGCAGGATGCATGTCTTGTGCTGCATGGGGAAGATCAGCACCTAAGAGTATTTTTTGTCCTTGGTCATGCAGAGCAATGGTGACAAGGGCTGAAGGATGTATGAGGTAAGTGTAAGGGCATACAGCTAACTTGTAGGCAGCCAGGTGCTTGGAGATTTTTGGATCCCCAAAGCTGGTAGGTAAATTCAGTTTAGCATTCCCCTTGTACTTGGTTCATCCGCAAAGGCCTTTCTTGCGTTGGTAGTTTCCAACTATGTGTTTGTGGCTCTGTAGAAATTCCTGTTAGTCCTCAGGTGTGACTATCACTGCATCACTGAAATCCTGCCTGTTTCTGTACTTCGAGGTCACTCAGGCTTTTCTGTCCAACATCCTGTTCCTTTCTTGTTCTAGTGGCGTTTCGTAGTTAACATCACTATTCCCACAACTCATGTCAAGGTGACTAACAGAAGTAGAACACAAGATTGGCCCCAGGCCTTTGGGGAAAGCCTCAAGTAAACTCATGCTGGCATGTCACTTCCCCTCTCTGTTCCACCTCCCGGCTCCCTGCAGCCAGGTCTCTACCAGCCCTCTGCTTTCAATCCTGCTGTTCTCCAGCTTCATGAGCAGCTTCCCATGTGGCACTACATCAAATGCTTCACTGAAGTCTGGAGAGATAAAAATCTACTGCATTCACTTTGTCTAGAATATGAGTTATCAAAGAAGGATATCAGGTTAGGCTGGCATGCTCTATCTTTGGTAAACCTGCTAGACATTTTATCATATTTTCTATTTACCTCCAGGTCTTTTATGTGTTTCTCATAGAAGCTTTTTTTAGCCTTTAGTGGCTGAAACTTAAAGGAGGGGTGGATTTGTCCAGCTCAGCTTTTTCTTTCTTTGTTTGCTATTTAAATCAAACAACCCTGACTATAACAAATCCATGAAGTACTTGTTCCTGGATTTGTAGTTCTGAGTGCCAGGACAGTGTCCCAGTAGTCCTGGATGAGATTACTTGGTCCCTCACCTTGTGTGCCATGGGGTGATTGAGATTTGTTCCCACCTCTGCTCTGGTAATAGGTCATTGTAACATGCCTTTGCCCTGTGCACCGGACTTATTGAATGCTGGGGGGAAGCGCTTATTCAGCTTCAGAGCCACATCCCGCTTCGCTGTCCCCTGTGCCTCCTTCACCCCATGCTTGTTGATCTTTCCTGAGTCACCAGCAGTTGAGCAAAGCGGCCCCGGCCCATTCCGCCGCAGAGGCAAGGTCACGGCGGCGGGCAGGGCG